TGATTATTAATTATCATTTCTTATATTTCTTAGCAGGATTGTTATTTACCATTTTTTCACACAGTATATACAATACGGGGATGATTTCTTGCTTACTGATATAATCATGACATAAGGTTATTAATAAAGCTAGAATATTTAGTTTATAAAAGAATCAAAACCCAAAGTTTATAAATAAAGAATGAACTCAAATGACAAAAAAAACGAGATTCGAAACACAAATAGGAGAAGGAGAAAGATATTTAAAAAAAGGGGAAAAGCATGAGGACGAAACATATATTCATGAATAGATGCATGAATACTTCAAAAGATAATAGAATTTACTGTAATACGGAAATGTTTAAAATAATGACTAAGAAAATGAATATTACAAAAAGAAGAAACAATTACCGGAACTAGAGAACAAGAACTACAGGAAAAAAAACTCCACAAACGAAAAGAACATTAACATAAACACTAAAATAATTACTATATTAAACAAAAATAAAATAAACAACAATGAATCAAAGACAAAAATAATGCCACAAAATAAACCAAACAAAACACACGCCCAGAGAGGAACACAACAAAGGTACAGCCTCACGACCAAGGGCGCCGACCTTGGGTTCCTCGGGCCCGACGAGACACACGGAAGTGGCGGGAATGAGCGACGCATGGCGAGCGGCCGCTGAGCCCATCATCCCCGCGCCGACCACCACCAAGTCGTAGGTTTTCCTCTCGTTTGCAGACATTCTTGGCTCTGTGGGTAATGGCTTACTGTATGTAATGTTTTATGTAGGTTGGTGGATGTTGTAGGTTGGTGGATGATAATAAGAGAGGGAGATATAGGAAGATTTGAGAAAGGGTATTCAGAGATCAGGATATGTTAAGACATGTTTGTGGATATTATTGTCACTGTGGGTACTGCGTGGATTGTTGATTTCAGCTGGCGGGTTTTGTATGTAATGTTGTATGAGGATGATAATGAGAGAGGGAGATATAGGAAGATTTAAGAGGGGGTGCTCAAGGAAATGTATTTTTTACATTTCTTGGCTTTGTATGCAATGTTGAATGTAGAATGGTTGATAGATGGTATTGAGAGGAGATACTGGGAGATTTAAAAAGGGTGTGGAAAGCAGTGAATACTAAGAGAAAAACCTGCGTAATGAAGACTGTTGAAATTCCCCTATTTCGTTTGCAAATAAGCTTTAATGTTCATCATTAACATATCATTACTTAGTAAGTAGATCAGATTACATCATTTACAGGGCGTCCCAGGAGTTACAAACATGTTTGTACATATATGTATATGTACGAATATATATATATATATATATATATATATATATATATATATATATATATATATATATATATATATATATATATATATATATATATATATATATATATATATATATATGTATCATGGGTTACCACTGGACCGGGTTGTGGCACATAACCAAAGATATCCTGGAACTCCTGCAGAAGATACATCTCTCCTGATCCTGTGGCAAATGGCTAAATTTGGGGTGCCGGTCTCTCAATACATCAGAATTGTTCAATTTAGTGCCTCCCTTTAACTCGCCAAAGTTATCCTTCAGCATCTCTTCCGCCAATAATGTTTCAATACGTTGACTAGTTTCTTAAACTTCCTGGATCTTGGTACGTCAGTCACGCAATTGACATCACTCACTTTACTTAAGACATTAAAGGGACCTTGGTAGTTTGCTTAATGGGGACACTTCTTGGTCTGCAGGAACAGTAAAACATCTCCAATTTCTAATTGTCTATCAACATTTTTATCATATGGGACTTTTCTAGGGCATCTTTCAAGGTATTCCTAACAAAATTATGAACATGTTTAATTTTCTCCTTCAGGTTTATAGCATACTCGGATAAAACTGTATACCCATAAGTATCAACCCATGTTTCAAACATCAGTTTTAAAGGAACTTTCTAACATCTCGCCCCAAACAACACAAAACGAAAATCCTAAACTGAACTATTTTGTGCATCTTATAGCATACAGTATCCCACTCATTAACAGATTCGATATAGTACTTTGTTATGCTCTTAAAGGTTTGATGAAACCTTTCAAGATCACCTTGACTGTCAGGGTAAGTTGTCGATAGATATTGTTTAAAACCTAGTAAACTCATTACTTCCTTAAGGAACTTTGAGGTCTGATTAAATCATAGGAAAAAGTCCAAAATAGGTGAAGAACTTCAGTAAAACTGATACAGTGTTCCCAGCAGTAATATTTTTTGGATACCGAGTGGGTGTACACATTATTGTTATTATAAACTCATACTCCATAGTTCATTAGCAGACATATCACACGGTCGGTATTTCTCAGATCTCTCCTTAAAGGAGTATCGCAAACAAACAGATTAGGTTCAACCAGCCTTCCAGCTATATCCTTACCAAGGAAGAATGTCACTCCTTCCAATGGCAACACATCCTGAACACCCACGAAGACTGGTCTAGACGAAAAAAACATTCGAAGACATACTTTTTC